TAATGATTTCCAGCGCAGAAAAGTGGGAAGCAGTTGCGAGATACGTGAAATTCGTACTCCGCTGCAAACGAGAGGACGGTTGTCTACTGAGGACACCCGAATGAAACGCCCCTACAAAAGAGCAGCCCCAAGGCTCTAACAGCGCGCTCCTGCATCTGAAGACATGCAGAATTGCGGTGCCAGATGCGGGATTCTTGCGCGGCCGGTGGGAATTTGGGTTTTAGTGGGTAGCCCAACACGCTTCGGTGGGAGTCCCACACTCGGGGAAGGTAGTATAGAGACTAGCGCCCCGGCCAGTGCATAAAGCATTTCCCTCTCCTACGAAAAAAAAAATCCTATGGTTTGACGTAATTATTATTTTATTTTAACTAAATTCGACTTTACAAACAGGTGGCAACCCTATTCGTAATATTTTTAAGCTAAAACCTTCTTAAACCTCTTTCGTCTGACTCGCTTATGGTGATACCTATCTATTTCAATTACCTAATTCCTTCAATTCAAGTGGAATTTGATTTTTTAAACAGGTGGCAACTCTGTACATGTAGTTAATACACATTTCGATTATTACCCATCTCTTAATTATTCATTTAAAATATAAAAAAAATTTAATTTAATTTTTTAACAATCTAATTTTTTAACAGGTGGCAACTCTTTAAAAAAATAAACCTTCTATTGTCCACAGGTTAAGATTTTTAATCTGACACTTCATTTTTGAAAATGGAACGAATCGTGCAGATCTCAAACCACTGACAAAAAATGAGAAAATTATTTTATTCCTTAGCGAAAAACGCATTACTTCAGAAAGTGCAAAAAATGAGCAGGTTTTTATTTCTTCTCTTGAAAGCTAAAAACCTGTACTATTTAATAAAATAATAAAAAATAACCTATTTTTACATGTATTTTTTACTCATTCCATTAAAATCTTAGCATTTTTTGAAATTTTGTTTAACAAAATCATTTTTTTTTGAACACCGCAGGGACACGCTGTGTTTAGTTTTATCCCAAAATTTTAATTCCTGTAATTCTCTACTATCTATATGGAAACAAGAAACGTCAAACCAACATTTTATTTTAAAGAATATATTTTTGACATTTTTTTCCTTGAAGAGCTTACGCCTGGCTATGCTTTTATTAAAATTCTTAGTATAAAATTTGTCGACTTTAGTGGCTTCCTGGCGGCATATAATAATTTTTTTAGGGAAATGTCTGTTTAATTCTTTTTAGTGGATAAATTGTCTTTACAGAAATACCAAACAAGTTCACATTGCAGATAACGAATTTTTCGATTTATGCCCACTTAGGCGGCACTGTGCGACGCTCAAATAATTAAAAAGTTATAGCTCTGACCTTTAATTAGGTAAGAATTATGTAACTATCGAATATTATGTGCAAAAGATCTGTTGAAAAAACTGAATGCATCGCTAGTTTTTTCTACTTTTTGTTAGATAATTGTAATTATTATTTTTTTCTCATTAAACGTCTTATTGTGATTGAGTTCCGTGTTTTCTATTATTATTTAGCAGAAACCACACCAAATAATATTGACCGGTTTTACTATGCAAATTCTTTTCTGTGTGCCGTCTTCAGCTCGAAAGCAACAACATTTTTGTGATAATTGTCAAAATTACCACGCAGCGAAATAAAGATAAAATTGAATGTGAAAAAGTTGACAGCCAAGTTCACAAATCAAATAAAAATCCATTCAAGGCGAATTTAATATTTATTGAGGAGTGGGACTTGGCATGCAATATATGTTGAAAATTTGCGTTCATCGGCCTCGAAATATGAAAGCGCATTGAGCACATGGAATGGACCATCATAACGGATTTGACAGATTATGACTGACAGCGGTGAGTAATTAATTACAAGCTATTCATTACAGTTGAACCTTTTGAAGAAATCCCCCGTGAACTAAGCAGCTCTGAGACCCTCATCATCCGTGATTCCGATAACTCAAATGCTTATAAAAAAACGGGGTCCGTTTTTAATAAAATAACAAGATCCTGGAAAGTAAAATTTTTATTGTCATATCCACCTATTTAGAACCTCGCATAAGCACACATTTTTCAAACCAATCACATAAAAAAGGATTAAAAATGAAATACAAAAACTAAAATCAAAAAACGCTGATGACGTTACATGTTCTCCAAATTCCGAAACAATCAAAAGAATGGAATGAAGAATTCTTTGGAAAAAGCTTTAGAAAAACCTGACGCATTTCGTTTGCCTTGTAAGCTGTGTTTAAACAACGATCTTGCCATGATGCTAGAGTCTTCAAGTGAAAATGAATGTCAGGACGATACATCCGACATTTGCAGCCCCGATGCAATTCTCAAAAAGGAATTGTTCTTGCACCGAAATAAAAAATAAATAAAATTGAAAGTCCTCTCAACTGGTGCAAAGTCAATCGAAAAGAAATTAAAATATTGTTAAATTTCACACGTAAATGTGAGCGAGTATTTATTTAATGGCTTTAATTGAAAAGGCAGCAACATTAATTTTGATTAACTATGATGTTCCAATTTTAAAATGCAAGTACTAAACGTAATAAGTCTTATTAAAATTTACTAACTTTTCAATTTTTTTATTTACCTANCGCGAATGTGCTGACTGTTTGTTTGATGACAGGAGATACTTCGTCTTGTCCTCGTTTACCACCAGACCCATGCGCTTTGCTTCCCTATCCAACTTGGAAAAGGCAGAACAGACTTCGCGGTTTTTGTTACCGATGATGTCGATGTCATCGGCATAAGCCAGCAATTGCACGCTCTTGTAGTAAATTGTTCCTGAGCGGTTCAGTTCTGCAGCTCTTATTATCTTCTCCAACATCAGATTAAAGAAGTCACATGAAAGGGAGTCGCCCTGTCTGAAACCCCGTTTAGTGACGAACGGCTCGGAGAGGTCTTTCCCAATTCTGACGGAGTTCGTGGTATTGCTCAACGTCATTTTACACAGCAGAGTTTTGAGGGGGATGCCAAATTCAGACATAGCGGCGTATAGGCAACTCCTTTTAGTGCTGTCAAAAGCGGCTTTAAAATCGGCAAACAGATTTGGCGTATTGTGAATACCTGGTCTATGGAGGATTTTCCATGTCTAAAGCCACGCTGATAAGGCCCAATCAGTTCATTGACGATGGGTTTCAGTCTTTCACACAATACGCTCGATAAGTCCTTGTAACCTATGCTTAGAAGGCTGATCCCGCGGTAGTTGGCGCGAATGGCGGGGTCACATTTTTGTGGATTGGGCAGAGCACACTTAAATTCCAGTCGTCGGGCATGCGTTCATCTGACCATATATCACCTAATTTACTTACCTAAATTATTTCTTAAAGATACTTGACCGCATTCGCATCCGCGGATGTCTAAAGTTCCACATTCGCAACATCCCTAATATAGATTTATTGTTCGTAAATAATTATAATAACTAAATAGAAAAAAATAAGAGGATTGATGGAATGGTTAATTAAAGATAACTGCCGTAAGAAGTACTGCATCTACTTGTGTTCGAAGCTTCCGCAGAAGATAACGACCAACTTTACTAACACTTTCAATTCTTCTGTGCAATCTGCATTATTGATAAAATTTCTTACTAATTCGACTATTCAAACCAAGTGTTGTTTTCTGCATATCAATTTGAGTAATTATTTATTGATTCACAATAGAATGCTTTCTACTTTCACTATAAAATACTAATTATCTTACATTACCATCTCTAAACTCACTTTCTTTTAAAAGTTTCTTAATCAATTGTCATTTCAAAATTCGAAATTTATATGCGAGATTCGTAATCAGCGATCCCAAACCCCCAAAATACCCTGTTTTGATAGAGTTTAAGATTTTTTAATTTTTGTGATCGCCATATTGGATGCGCCATTTTGAATTTTTGAAATCTGACTTCACAACTCGTACTAAGCGAGCTCAAAAACATATGGATACAAAGTGGTGTTAAAGGTTCTTTGAGCAAATAGTAGTCCACCTAGATTTGGGTTTCAGACCACTGTGTGCGGTCCTTCGCCAGAAGATTTTCTTACTTTTTGTTTTAAATAGTACCAATATTAAGCTAAATATTAATAATAGCTGTATGATGGGGGTAATATTCCTCATCAAAAAAAGTAGATGTGGTACGTAAACTACAAAAAAAATTGTAAATCTAGAGGATTTAAGAATCCTGGCACAATTGTAAAATCCAAAAGCAAAGTAAAAACAATAAACAATGATACGGGTTTCATCATACTATATTTTCATTACTTTCATTCTATCGCCACATACCTCAAAATTCGATGATATATATCTAATTCCGTCAATTGCTCTTTATCGATACACATATGCTGCTCGGATTGGACTTCTCTAATTTTCATTTTTACTTCGTGCCATGTCGTGTTGTCTAATTCTTTCTGAAAAAAATATGTTAGATTATACTTTGAACAATAAAGCACAAAAAATTTCGCACCTGAATTTGGCTTATTGTTAAGATTTTTTTAGCAAAATTTTAGCAGGGGTTTGAAAGTTTTACTTAAAGGATTGAATTAAAAAATTGCTAATTTCACAATAGACATAGTGCAGTCTAGCAAAACATATTTTCATGCTCATACATAGTAAATAAATGTAATAAACGTCACGTTGCTGAAAGAATGTCGTAACCCAACAAATAAAAATTCTAGAAAAAGTGCATTGGAGTTCTAATCTCCTATTTTTTCTTGAACCAATTAAAACATTTCACTGCATGGTTAAGTGCTTACAAAATTTTCGATTTAATAGGGAAAGGAAATTGTTTTACACTGAGAAAAAAAAAGTTGTAATATTAAGAAAAATGTTATGAATTTATGGTTTGATACTTTAGCATTAAAATTTACTACTTTAGGTGGAAATACATTTTCAAATTTGAATTTAAAATGAATGTATTCTAGTCTGATACGAGCGTTTTAAAGTAGTGACACTGACGACTGCTGGTGCGAGGAAGAAAAAATGATCAGAAGGGGGCAAAACGAACTCAAAAGAATAGTGAGATTTTATTTGTGATAGAACACTTGTAGGCAGTGATGCCAGTAGTACAATATTTTTCACAAATATGAACTCATTTGAGGGATTAGGACATTGGGGATTTTTTTAACCTGATTTGGAAATATACGTATTTTGTTTTTAAAAATAATGTGGGTTATGTCAATAATATCTATAGTTGTACGAATATTATCAGTATTTTTTGTAGAAACCGAAAATCAACTCCGCCCACAAGTATAAATTCTATAGAAATGCATAGATAAATACACATATGTGACAATTACTCATTTAAAACATGGTCTGGCATCCTTATTTGAGCGTGGAAAAGCACTTCTTTCAGTGATGCCAGAAGTGAGCGTACACAAAATTTTTACCGATAATAACTCATATGAGAGATTTGGATATTGGGAATTTTTCCAAGTCTAGTAGGATATATGAGGAATATAAATACAAAGAATATTGATTATATTAATTAAGTTGCTAGATAAGTATATGAATATTATCAGTGTTATATATAATAAACAAAAATCAACCTGTCCGCCCATTAGAACTTTCGCTCTAATAGAAAAATATACATTGTGCATTTACTTAATACATGGTCTGGCATCACTGTTTGAGCATAGATGTGCTCAGCTAACTGTTGCCAACGCAGTTTCGCGCGTTCGTTGGAAAAGTAGGCACAATAGTGCCATTTTTGGCACTTTCATTCGCAGAGGCACTTTCGGCACAATTCATTCAGTTATGGCACAATCATAACTTACAGAAATTTAGCATAAAATGGCAATATTTAACAAACAATCATAAAATTAAAATCACTTAAAAATTAAAAGGACTGTTTTATGAAACTAATAAAAAATTATCAATGTAAAGAAGAATAGTCAAAACTGGTCAAAATGCCGAACTGCTATTATTTTGCACATAGATATATAGATGAACATGCCCGAATAGCTATACTTCCGTGTTTTCTCCCTTCGTAATTGGAATATTGTGTTATTTTACTATGAATTCTGGGGAATTGATGAAACCAAGTTTTTCTGAAAGTCTGGATTGTATATAGAAAAGAAATTTCTCAGTTCTCCCATGTTGGCGATTTTAAGCCCTTTTCTAGTTTCAAGTTGGTGGTCGCAGTGTAGCATTTAAAACAATTAATAGTGATTAAAATACAAATATTTATACACACAAAAGACCTTTTTGCCGACTTCGGGCCGAAGAATCTGGGCTTGTAATTTATTTTTAACAAAAACGGCCGCTAGGGGGCGCTTTAGTTTAAAAAAACATGGAAGGAATATGAAGGAAAAGTGCAAACAATGCTTCTCAACCAGCAGCCGCAGTGTTTTTGGTAAAAATAAACGCCTTTTGATAAAAAATAAACTGCAGATTCAGATTCCTCGTGCCCGAATATCTCCAGAAAAGTATTTCGATGGTATGAATATTTTCTTTTTAAACACTTTTAAACATTTTAAACGTCTGCGACTACCAATTTCAAATTGAAAAAAAAGCTTAAAATCGCCAACCTGGGCAAAATGAGAAATTGCTTTTCCATATACAATCCAATGTTTCAGAAAAACTTCAAAATTCAAAAAAATTCAATAAATAATTTCACTACTTTTTTTTAAATATTGCTCTTAAAAAGCCTTAAAAGAAAGCAATTTTAATTTTGTGGTACTTTCATCTTCTTTTCGGCACTATTTTTCCAGTCCATTAGGAACATTTTGAAATTTTAAATTCCATCCCTGGTTCGTTATAAATGAGTATACATTAGACCGTTCGTTATTTTAACTATTTTTTTAAATATACAGTTTGCCGGGCTCAAAAAGATGTCTTTTGGTCTAAAAATAAGCAGTGCAAAATTTTATTCGAATATGATAACTCTAAGTACTTGCGCGTTGCATTTGAAAATTTAGAAAACCATATGCACTCTGGGAAAAAAATTTCTAACAAAATAGTTGAAAGTCGTGAATTTTATAGTCATTTGC